GATGTTTCCTCCCATCCCTCCAGCCTGCCCAGGTCCCACTGAATGGCAGCACAGCCCTCTGGGGTATTGGTCACTCCTCCTGGCTTTGTGTGCCAGGGAACTCGCTGAGGGTGCACTCTGTCCCTGCCTCCAGGTCATTGATGAACAAGTTGAACAAGACTGAACCCAGAAGTGGCCCCTGAGGAACCCCACTGGCTACAGGCCTTCAGCTACACCCTGTGCCACAGGTCACAGCCCTCTGAGCTCTGTCATTCAGCCAGTTCCCAATTCACCTCACTTCCTGAGCTACCTATGAGCATGTAGGGGAAACAGTGTCAAAAGCTTTGCTGAAGTCAAGATGTCCCCACTGTTCACTTCTCCCCTGTGCATGCAAACCATATGTAGTTTTGACAAAGCCTTTATTCAGAGACTTCTTTCCTGGTTTGAAACCAAATTAGAAAAAAATAATGAGAAACATACAGAATTGTTTGACATCTGGTTTTGTATTGCACATTTCTATTCCTGTCCAGCTCTGTTCTGCTCCAAAGGATTTCTCATGCCTTGATCCCTACAGATATTCAGGTCACAAGCTATGTCCTGCTTTTGCCATTCATTGTTGTAAAGTACTTCTCTTTCCTGGATAAAATGGCATTCAGATGTGCCACAGTACCTACCTTAGTGAAATTAACATATGAACATGATGTTGTTGTTGTTGTTATGACTGATAATTTGCAATTCTTACAATTATAATTAATAACAATAACTAATTGCTTCTAACAACTGCTTACCCATTTGGTTCACTTTGGATTTGCATGGAAGGAAGATCTTAACCCACATATAGTCCTTGATTAAAAATTTCACTCTAGTCTGTGGCATGATGGGCCACCATTTGCAAGGTGGAAATTCTTGGCTGGCAAATGAGAAACTGGGCTAGAAGGATGTGCTGCACTTGGGAGAAGAATACACAGCCTGCTCACATGAGAGTAACCAAAACCTCATGAGCTCAAAATGAATTAGTGCCTGGGGAGTTGTTGATTCCTGTCTGCCCCCAAACTACAGTTGAGTAAGGGCTTCAACAATCACAAATTGCATCTCAGAGTAAAAAAAAAAAATCAGAGTAAAAAAATGGTACCTATGTCTGCTGGCAGTATTAGGCAAAGTGCTAAATATCTGCAGCAGCTGCAAAATCTGAAATGTGAAGGCAGGTATTTGCAAACCCCACTGCTTTATATGTTCCTCATAAGAGGAAAAGAAAAAATGCATGACCATTTCAAACAGCTTAATATTTTTAGACAATCAAGTTTTCCTTTCAAGGTTCAATTGGAATTCTACTCCTGCACATTACAGCAGCTTTTTTCTGACACTTCTGTTAAAATCCAAAGACAGCTCCTATCCAAGAATAATTTCAGCTTGTGATTTACAGACATTTTCTCTACACAGTAGAGCAATGAATCAAAGTATTTAAATTAAGACTGCTGTAATATTTCACAGTCCTGCCAGAGACAGAAACACAGTAGCCAAACTGTAAACAGCCCTGTTTCCTTGCAGCCCTGTTAAACATCATGAAAGCACTTACATCTCTTTTTAGCATTGGAGCCCATAGAACAAACCACGGATGTAAACCTAAGTTGTGCATAAGCATTTTCAGGATTGAAATTTGGTGACTTAACTTCAAAACTGCATGTATTTTAGGTGAGATCTTGAGCATCATGGAGCAGTAATTCTTTAAAGGTATTTTTCCTTCAAAGGAAAATAAAGGTCCACTTTATTTTTCCCTTTTTTTCTCCCTTTTTCTAAGTTACAAAACAAAGAAGATATAGCAACACCAGACTATTTGGAAATCTAGGCCAGGAAAATCTATTGGACAGCTTAGCTGCTTTCTGAATTACACTCTTCTGTTTATTATTATTATTGTTCTTGTTGTTACTCTAGACAAGTAGTCAAATGGGGATCTTCACAAGTTAATTTTCAAACGTTCTCAAGAGCACAGATAGCTCATGGAATATTTTCATCCTGGAAATGAAAACTGTTCCTGATCAATTTTGCTTCATTGTAACACAAATTGCAGAAAAAATATGACAGGAAACTTTTCCTGATACACTTAATTATAGTCTTTGTTTGAGAAGAAAGTGTTTTTTATATCCCCTACCTGAAGTTTTGCTACTGCTTGCAGGAAGGACTACCCCAGTGTGCCTTACCCATGGATAGAAACAAATCTCTGTGTAACAGAATATGGCCTGATTAAAGTCTTACTTACCTGCAGCTAAATAGCTATGTCTTCCCACAAGCAGTCTTCAATCTCTGGCTTGATATCAGCAAGAAAAATAACAATATTATTCTTCCTCTCATCTGTGCTTTCAGGAGAGCATAGCCTGTTACTACTCTCAGCATTATTCAGCCCTGCAGCAGGTGACTCCCCTGCTCCAGTCTCAGGCAGTACCAGGTTCTGTCTGAATCACACGTTTACTTACAAAGACCTCCAGATGTTTACAGTGTCATGAGTACCATGCCCAATTTGAGTTCTGCACTACAGACCAGACAGAAATTATTTAGGTTTTGCCCACTCTTCCGTGTTTAGTCAGTTGCATTATCAGTCACACACACGTCATTATGACTCAAGAGTGTCTCCCACTCAGAACCAAAACTCCTCTAGAAGAAACCCAGGAAAACAAACATGGTCTAAACAATCTGGACAAATATCTCTCTGCATGTATTAGGGAAATCCATGAAGAAAAGGTATGTCACGCTTCATGTGAAAGCTGAGCAAAGCAACTTCTAGAAAAACCTCAGCATGGATCCACAGCATATGTTAGGAATCCTTATCGTCTCAACAAAACAGGCTGATTTTGCAGGTAATATTTTCAGCTGACATTTTTCCCACTCAAGATGTAAAAAAAGCTACATTATTTTTCTACAGTGGCTGTCAACAACAGAATATTTTCTCTTTTTTTTTTTTTTAATTCCCCTGAAATTTTGGATGTTTTTAACTAGATAAAGGGCAGGTTCTTTTTAAAACTATAACCTGGTACTTATCATTCTCTAAATAGGCCTTCTCATGGAATTTTGCAGTACTATAGTGAGAATGACATAAGAGCTTGACAGGTCAGTATAATTAGTTTATGTGGATCAGCTTAAACTGGATTTCCCCATTGCCATTGTTGCTCCAGTAACATTCATGGGAGAAGATACTTTGTACTAGACTCAGTTCAGGCTGATCAGCATCCTGAGCACCATGGCTGTATTCAAACATTTAAAGAAAAGGCTGTAACATTAAACTAAGACTGAAGGCTATGGCCTTCCTTCCAGAGTGGCATGATTAGAGGGTTACCTCTCTTTTGTGGTTTTCTCAAATCCCTTAAAGCCCCATGAATGGGGCTTTAAGGGACAAAAGCACACCAGGCAGATATCTAGCCAGGTCGGTTTCCCCATGGTCCCATGCTCACATGGCTCTGCTGTTTGGAGAACTACAGGCTTGTGAATTAGTGCATCTGCACTGTTCATCCACCTTGGAGAAATGACATGATGGAAAAGCACAGTCTTGGTGTACTCTGGAGGTGTGTCTCTACCAAGGAATTAACCCTCATGACAAGAAGTATAGAACAGGTTAAGTGACCGCATTTTCACCCTCAAATAGTGTTTGTAGGAGTTGTGATCATAGAGTCACAAAATTATTTGGATAGGAAGGGACCTTGAAGATCATCTAGTTCCTACACCTCTGCCAGGGGGCAGGACCAGCTTCCACTAGATCAAGCTGGTCAGTTTTTATTCCATCCTGTGGCAAAATGGTTTGACCAAAGCACAGACTAATCTATCACAGAGAGTAGAATTGCTAGCATCAGGTCTATGTAGAAACAGGTGGAAACGAGTGCTTTTTTTGGAGAGTGTAAGAGGAAATGATTAAACAAGACAGCTCTCGAATGTAAGAGGAGGTGTAGGAAAGAAATGCTGATTGGCATAATGAAGGAGAGCACTTTTGCCTTCAAGAGCTCTACAAATGGAGGAAACAACTTGGACCTAGATCAAACATGACCAGGAAAGCAGACATAACAGTTCTCTTGCTTAATACCTTTAAAAGTTCAATTTAATCTTCTTTTCTCTTTATTTCCTGCTCATGATCCTACTACCAGTTAGGTACACCTCTGACCCAGTAAAATAGTATTGCTATGGCAAAGATATTTAAGAAACATGTCATTCTTTCTCTTCAGGTTCAGACGGATTGGTAAAATTGCTTCTAAAAAAAGAAGTAAATTTACCCTACAGTTTTGGCCAGGACATTTGGTTTAGTAAAATTAGTAAAAAGTCTGTTTAGTAAAATACAATCAGATTCTTTTCACTCTGTTTAAGTGTGGATAAACTGCTTTCCTTCTGCAAAAATCCCAGTGCATGCTAGGAGCTAGGATTTGTTCCCCTCCCTGTGGACACTGATGGACACTGCACCTATTATTTTTGCAGGGCAGAAATATGTCTTTTGGTGAATAACAAACCAAGAAGAATCCCATCTGTTCATATTTTAAAAGCCATCACTCTATTAATAGCACTAAAGGAAACATTTTCCTGGTGGTTACAAAAAGAGGTTTAAAACTTTACAGGGAGCACAAAATAGCTCCATTTCATTTTCCAGAAAACAGAAAGCATTTCAAATTCTGAGTTCACTGGAATAGTCAGTCATCTCTTTTCTGCTCTTTGAGTCTGCATGCATTGATATGGACAGCAGTATCTCCCTGTTAGACTCCTCTTCCTTGTCTCCCTGTGTGCCAAGGGTTGACTGGAGTTAGAAAAAAGGGTTCAAGAATGCAACCTGGTCCTTTGCTGCCAGCACAGCTCTGAAAATACAAAAAGAAGACCTTGATACAAGTGTCTTAATCTGTGTAGCATATGTATTGCCAAGGAAACAGTCAAGTCTCATGGGAATGACTGTGAACAAGAACAGAGTCTGGCCTAATTTATGTCAATCTGTGCATGGATGCTTTGCTCCAAGAATAACAAGAGCAAAACAGCAAATCTTTCAAGCAGTTATATATACAGATTTCCTGCAACAATCTGAAGATCTGAGTGCTGTGGTTGCAATACAAGAGCCCAACAGCACACTGAGAGACCTACCCCCTATTAAGAAACAGGCTCTCCTGACAACTACACATCCCTCTGGGGCAAGATAAAGAGAGGCAGCACTTTCAATTCACCAGGTCAACTATCCCCTTGGAAACATTAGGACACACTGCTAGCATAGATGGAAGAGTCACCCTGCCAATGCAGGATGAAGACATTGGTGCAGAGATGAAGTGCATGAGCTCAATCCCATGAAAATCCTTATCACCACTAAGAGAGGCAGCCACATCTCATGCTGCAGCACACTGCAGTTCATCAGATTGTCCGTGCAGGTTTACGATAGCCCAAGTCTGACAGTTTTAAAGTGTGTTTTTTAAGGATACATTTCGGCTGCTATGTTCTTAGGCCTGGATGACTGTTCTGTTGCATAAATGTTTATGTCAGTAGAAGCAGAAGAGTGAGAACTTGAATTCTTAGGATGGTAGTTTCTCTTTGAGCACCAGTGTAGGCATACAAAATGTTAAAGTGATAGAAAACTATGAGGGTTTTTTTAGGGAAAGAAGCACATAGAATAGAAGACATCTTCTCAATAGACATAATTTTGAAAATCAGACCAGGTCACTGAGGTTCCTAAATGTAAGCTAAGTTCCACTTCTCTTTTCTTTTCCATTCTCTTCCCTCTATTAAGCTTAACAGCAGAAAAAAGCAAGATCAAAGCTGAGTCCTTGGCAGCTGGGCAATATAACAACAGAACACAAAATGGAATAATACAAATTACAGCCTTGCTGTTCTCTGTGACTCTGATCCTTGTTTGTGGCTTAAGAATCTGGATGCCAGATTTCTGAGGGTTTTAAAGATAAACAATGAAATGCACCAAAGGAGTAAACATGCAATGAGAAAAAGCTGTTATGAGTGAAATCTTACTAGATGTATTAGTATAATTAAGAAAATGTATCCTTACCCCTCCTGAAAATACCTTTATATACGTATACAATTATTCTGTACCGCTGCCTGCTAAAAAGTCGGGATAAGGCAGCTTGGATGTGCCTGCCTAAGGGAAAGAAATTTTACTGTAAATCTTTCTTTCTTTCTTCTTTGGGTTATTGCAGAGTCTGACTCTTTCCTGTAATGTGCTAGCATGACTTCACAAGCTCATTCCCCCAAATGCTTAAGCAAAAATTTGGGTTTATGATTTCAAGTTTCCTTACTCAACAGTGCATGTGAGCAGTTGTTGCTGGCAATGAGGCCTATGTGAGCTCTCAGTGAAAAGTTAATGTAGTGCTTTTTGGATAGAGATGGACTGAGATTCCAAAGGTGAGTACGGATAAAACAGTCCCTGCATTTAGCAGAATCCTTATTTTGAATAAATTCTCACTCACAGTTTTCCCTTTAGGTCCCATCCAGCTTTTAGGTGCAAGATAAAGTGATCACATCTACTTGAGATTCTCGTTCTTCAAGTCCCACCAAGCCTCAGCTCCATTCTTTGCTGGAGTACGTGTCTAGTTTAGCTTTCCAGAAAGATTTATCTATCAATGAATCCCAGAGGAGACCTCTGCAGTTCTCTGACCCATCAGAATCAAACACCTGCCAATCCATTTACCAATATAGTGTTACTTTTAGTTTCTTGAAAGAAGTATTTGATACAGTCAGAAAACACTAAAAAGTGGCAAAAAGCTCTATATTCCAGAATATAGAGAAAATAGAGTTTATCCGTAAATGCATCTTTGAGCCATTCTTCACTTTTCATTGCTGGCACACATTTTGTATAAAACCTAGAGGTCACGTGGGTATAAGCACACTGGACTTTTCAGATTTTGTGTGGGTTATTTACTGGTCTTCACAGTGTAACTATTTTATTTAATGCACAGGCTCTGGACTCTTCATAGTGAGTGGAAAATACCAGGTTTTCATCCACCTTAAAATATTTCCTAACTCTGAGAGCAGACAGCTTGAGGTCATCAGACAGTAATATCCTTGTATGAAGGCTTGGCCACCTCAACTGCTGATGACAGAAATCTGCAAATCAATAACAGCCTTAAACATAATTATACACATATTTTCTTTTTCTCTGTTTTCTAGGTCCAGAGGGCTTTCTTCAACCAGTCTGAAGACTGGCTCAACTCAGGGAAAACTTCTTATTATTTTTAAGCTCTTTTTTTTTTTCACTCATTATGAAACAGACATGTCCAGAAATTGCCCTCCCCATTTCCAGTATTTTTAGATCCATTCAATTGAATTATCCTAAGCTGCCCTTGTGTACACATGTGGAGAAATAATTACATTTCCAGCACCTTCAGTTGTCAACATTTTTTTAGGTTTTCTTTAATTCTGCTGTGAGAAACTGATTTTGTCTGAATTCCATCATACTTACGTTGAGATCAACAACCACTTTTACATGGATTTCCTCCTCTGTGCTCATTTCTTTTTCGTGAACAAGACAATTCAAAGACTGGAATATAAAGGAAATAAGAAGAATCAAACTGGGTCACACCAAGGACCCATGTGAACCCGATTCCCATCAATGTACAAAACCACATACTTTAGAATCCATGTGACGTCAGCCCAGAACTGCAATTATACTACTCTATAATATTATCACTGTTTTGTGGCTTTGGAAACATCATAAGCCACAAGCACTTCTCTATGAATTAATCACAGTCCAGGTGGAACAGGACGAATTGTTTTCCATGAATTTGTCCTGTCTGCTTCTGAATCCAGGCAAAATTAAGCCTGCAAAATTTTTGGAGGAAGGGGGCCCATGGCTCACCTGTGAAGAGCCATGTCCTTTCCTTTGTTATGAATGTGCTACACCTTTGGTCTTATTCCCCTAATTCTTTCAGTGTAAGAAACATTAATTTCCTTATTTAGATTTCCTAATTTCCTTATCAGGACTTTCTCTATTCCTCTCAGGATAGACCTCAATTATATTCCTGTAAGTAATCTCTCTGCTTAAACAATCCTGGTTTGTTCCACACCATCAAAATCCCAGTGTTACGCACATACAAAGAACCACAAGGCCTTATTACCTGTTGGAGATTCTCAAAGCTACAACAGCACAAATACTACAGATAGAAAAATGGACAAAAGTCAAAAGAAAAACTGACAAAATAAAATCTAACGCTGTCCAAAAATAATATTACAAATAACTGAAGGAAGCAAACAAATACGAAGAGTGTGCATTTCTATAACCTTCCCTTCAATGCAAGGCAAAGAGCTCACAGTTTCCACTTGCATTTCAAAAGATTGACTTTCAGAGGAATGTGTGGGGATGGCTGCAGATCAGAGAAGACATTAATGTATTTCCATTTTACCAAAGCCTCTGGCTATTATGACAAAAAGTCACCTATGTACAGGTAGGCTTCAATGGAAAAGCTGACAGTGTTCTAGGCTGAATGCATCAGCCTTAAGTGTCCCACTTTTCCCTCTAGTATACTATGTGGGATTTGAAGCACCTTGGAAACAGCAAAAAAGTGAATCTCATTAATCATAAAATCCTCTTATGACTGGACTGACAGCTACTGTGAGAAATGTCAGCTTCAGATGACACAGACAGAGAAGAAGCTTGTAATGGAAAATCTGCCTCATCTGTAACTAGAACATAATGAATTAGAGGCAATAATTGGCCTTACAAGCAGAGAATAATGTCATCATTATTCCTACTACTTGTCACTTTAAATCTTGTTGTTAGGTGATGTCTCTAAGATGTTCATAAAAATTCCTGGTCTCAGTCCACGTGAACACATTATCCCCTGTCTATTTGAAGAGGAAACTGCAAATAGCCATCTCTATATGGGACCTCTATCTGGAGTGCAATTTCACTATGAGAAGCTGGCATGCTCTAACTATGGCTAAGCATACTATGAAGTCAACATAAAACAGTGCACTACAAGTTTTTGATCTTTAAAAGGATGATAACCTTAATTTTCCAATTAGATTTTACATTCTGAGAATAGGCCCTATTACCTGGAAAAACAGAAAATCTGTTACTCAATCATACAAAATTTCCTTTGTACAAGAGCAACACTTCAAATAACTCAAATTCTTAACATGAAAAAGGGGAAAGTGAAGAAGTGTTTCAGTTAAACCTTGTTAGCATCTCCAATATTTCTACTTTGTGAAGTCTTCTACATCTGTGGCACCTGATCTGCCCCAAACTCTGTAAACTGAAAAAGCTCATGTTATATATATGTTACAAGTCCTTAAAAGGAAACAGTTCGCCACTAGAATAGGGATGACATGACATGATGTAATGTTTCTAATAGTAATTTTTTGCATGTCATGAGAACATACACAAGTGATACAGGAACTGCTGAGTGAACTCTCAAGGCCTGTATACATCAGCATTTGTATTACATGACCATATATTTCTTGCCTAGGAATCTACTCTCTGATTTGGTGCAGAGATTTCAGCATAGATACAAAACACTTTTGGCAGATGTGCACTGCAAATGGCAGGACCTCTAGAGCAAACATAACTCACTTCTGCAGAAAATGCCTTAAACTCCTGATACTAACTGGGAGTTTGGCTACAGCAATCAATCAAATGTTGGCCTCTTGTGCAATACTGGACTTCGAGCTGATATCATCCTCACTTTAAAATGAGCTTTCCTAAACTCTCCAGGTATGCCGCTCTAATGAGTGTATTTTTTCTTTGATGAAGCCCCACATTAAACTGGGTCTAGACAAACTATCCAAATACAATTGTTCATCCTGAGAAGAGTCCAGATCCGCACAGATACAGCTAGGATATATCTAAATCAGCCTGCAAAAAAATTTAATGGGAATTAATAATGTAATCTGACCAGGAAAATGGAAAGTTAATTTAGAATACATTTAGGTGGTCAGGACTAAGGTATCGCTCACCAAATGTTTGCTATGATGCTTGGATAAATCTTATTTGTCCAGTGGGTGCAATTTTTTTTATCTCTAACCCCTCTCACCATCTTTTGTTTGGCCTGGCCCAAATCACTTCAGTTCTGGGTTGCTGGTGTTTTTTTCTTTAACCATTTCTTGCCCTGTCAGTTTTCAAGTACTTTGGAAATAGATGTCATGTCTTAGCAAGAGGGCTGTCTGTCACCTTCTTTAGAATCTAAAGCCAGAGAACTAATCATTATGGTTTTCCTGGAATTGCCAGGTACAGAGGTGATAGATAATTCCTTGAACCATCTGCAGGAAACTTGCAGTGTGAATTTTCAAACCAAGATGATAAGAAACATATTAACACTCTCTGTTCTCATCAGACTAGTAATAATAAATTAAGTTAATAGAGAAAACTATCTCCCACCCTCATCTGATAGCATCATTTTTTCTGACAGGAAATAATACCTATTTTTACCAAATGGACTATTACTTGACAATCTACGCTCATTAGTTCAGACAAAGCTTTCTTATGTCCTGAACATAGGCCAAACAGTGCCTATTTTCAAACTAAATGATCTTCTTTCAGTAGTGAAGTACTCAAAATCCAAGCAAGTGTGTACATAAAGAACTGGGAATATAATGTAAAAGCAGATGAGGGGATTTAATAACAGTCAGCATCACGGTTACGAAAGAATGAGTTCCTTTAAAATCTAATTGAATTCCACGAATAATAGGGAGTCAAAGCAGGTTTGTGTAGCTTGCTTGCTTTTTTACCTTAATGGTTTTTCTCACTGAAAAAAAAAAAATGGACTCCCAATCTGATGAAATGTAATTAACCGCAAGGAAAATGTTTGGTTTTTTTCCAAATCCCAGAGAGTTTCCACTTAAGAGAAAGGCTAGGCTTCTGGCTAGCATTATAATGAACTCCATTAAAATCAAAGCAAGATAAATCTACACTGCCCTGTGCTAGAGACGTCATCTCCAAGACAGGCTCTGGGCCAGCCAACAACAAATGCAGTTAATAGGTTTTTGAAAGAAAGAGAAAATGTCACTGGCCAGGCAGGTGTGTTAGAGCAATCTAAGAGGAGACAGTGGCAGGACAGGCAGCACCATGGCACTTTCATTCTGCTCCACCATGAGACTTCTCTTAAGCACTTTACAAAACAATGGCTTAAATCCACAGTGAATCTTCCTGTAGCAATGACTGATGTGTGCCCCAGAAAAGAGACAAAAAGATATTAATAAAGTAAAATTTTGATTGTGTTTCCTTTTATCTGGACAGTGTCTACAGTGGGTCAGACACAATCTAAATTAGGCCTGCAAATATATATTTCTTTCACTCTGGGAGAATTTGCGGTATGATAAGAAGGTGAGAGTTGGGGCACCCAGTTACTGTGGGCTCCTTTGGAAGCCAAGATTGTCAAACCTGAATTCCTGAGATAGCATGACTATCTATAGAGCTTAAAAAAGAGTAATTTGTCCCATTTCTGAAAGTCTTGCCATTTCAGATTGCGTAGCTGCAAACTGGAAAAAGAAATCTATTTTCCAGATGAAAAGGCATTCTCCAAATTCCTTACCGAATGCATTTCTCTTTAATGAAAGTATGTTTTACAGCCAAAGTAAACACTTCGTTTCAAACTGAGGAGACAAAGTTGAAAGCTTTGGTCCCTGAAAGAGCAGTCTACAATGTAAGGAACCAAGGAAATTCCAAAACCCAATCTGCCACAGCATCTTAAGGAAACAGTCCACCAGGAGAAAAATTGCTCTTCAGGATCTAGGTTGAGACATGAGGAAGCTGAAATACAGACTCGCAACATGAGTTAAATGTAGCCATGGACAGAACGATAGTGCCAGTTCAACATCAGAGGATTTTTGTTCTATAAGCCTTTGCCTGTTTTTCTCACCTGAATATGTTCCAACTAGGGCGACAGGTAGCATAAGTAAAAGAGGTGCCTTTTATAATGGCTGCCTTTACATTATGCTGCTTTGCTGGTGATTTTGTAAAAGGCTGAGGATATTCTGCTATAATGCCCTTGTTAGAAAAGCTGTGGGAAATCCAATCATGGACAGTACAGGTTTGTGGAAAAAAGAGCTCTTGAAAGAACATTCTTGAAAGATTCTTGAAAGAACATGCTCATTACTGTCACTGAAAATAGTCTACCCTTCTCTTCACCTTCCTCTGTGGGCTCCCATCTCTTTGTAAAGCTAAATATAAGCTGCTTGGCTTTGCTTTTGCACACTTCTTGAAGCCTGCTCGTGCCCTAATGTTTACTTCATAAAGTACCTTGGGAGCAGTGGCAGCTTCTCAGGACCCTTAAAACTTAAATATTAGCAGGAGTTTTAAGGATTGTCAAGACTGAGATTTGTCAGATGGGGACATTCTTCCTATCTGCAATCATTAATATCTACATAACTACCACAGTGTTCTCAAAACTCCCTTTCCAAGCTGAGCTGCTGGGATAGATAATACAGCAATATTTTGTCCCCTTGTTTTGTATTATCTTCTGACTTGTCTGTCAATCCCTTGTTCTTAAGACTCAAATTGGATGTCTTCTGGAGCAGGATACTTTATTTTGGATTGCCCATAGGCAGCCACACAGCAACAACATAGGCAAGGTTCTTAAGCACAACATCCAACAGTTTTATAATAGCAGGTCTGAATTTCAAATGTGGTTGGTGGTAGGTCTGATTGTCTTCAATCCTGAGATCAAGTGGGGTGTGGAAATGTGGGAAAGGAGTCTTGAAAAAGCACGTGCACACGCGCACACACACACACACACACACACACATCTATATATTTATGATGTGCTAAAGGTAGATAGCTAATAACCCTAAATAAGCAGTGGATCTGTTTCCTGTCTCACTTTTCCATAATCCAGCACATGTACCCCTGTGAGACTCTGGCTAAATATTTCTAATCCAACTCTCCCCTTCCCTTATCCTTTCCTCTGAGCTTGGCTAGTGCTCTGAACCTCTGTGCCCAGGTTCTGCCAGAGCACGTCTGCTGGCAGCTGGAGAGGAGCCAGCAGGCACTGCTGGCTAGGGGCAGCACACCCTGCTTTCTCCTTCCTTGCCCAACAGCAGAGAGATGTCCTGCTGTTTGCAGGGAGAAATATGGCAGCGTGTAAGGAATTGCCCATTCCTGTACATCATAAACAAGGTAGGGAGAATATTCTGCAGGCTGTGGGCTTCAATAGGATTTGAAATTCTGTTTGTGATCAGTGTGGAGACAGCCCCAGGTAGGGACTGATGGTGAGGCAAAGGACCGTTCTGCTCTGGCTGCACTAGCTCTGAGAACCAAAGTAAAAGCCACAAAGAGAGACACCATCCCTTAAGTCAGAATGCAACTTCTAAAGTAGCTGGAGCATGGCCAGGAAGTCAGAGAGGGCTGTAGGAAAGTATTACAAATGTCCAAGGCCTGTGGAAAGTTCATATGATCAGGAATAAGAGGCTAAATCTATGAGTTGCAAGTGTTTTGTAACATGGATGAGGGTGTCTGTGGAGAGATGTGATGTGATGTGTGATGGTGGCCGAGCCTTCCTTGGAGGATTGGAAGTCAGGCACGGCAGACTTCACCCAGGCTTCCAACACTGACCACACTGGATTTTTTAGTGTCATTTTAACTGTCCTTTCTACTCTGGAGACAAAAAGGCAAGGAAGAATCAGGTACATGTGACACACTTGGATGATTTGAAGTTCCTTGAGAAGAGCTGAAGCACATAAATTAAACTTTACTAATTTGGATAAAACATTCACCAATCTAACATTGTCTCTTGAGAGTCTGTGGAAAGGAATCAAGATCTTCACAGTTCTCGTAAAAGTTGGAGCCAGTTAATATGGGTTCAGAATTGTTTTGGTTTGTGGGCTGACTTGCAGTTTTTTGCCTTTTTTCTGTTTCTGGTTTTGTACATGTATGGTGTGCCCAGTCTATTCTGCTGAGTCAGACATAATCTTACATCTGTGGTAAAGATTGCCTATAGAAAATGTTCTAGTAAACATTTCTCATGGTGTGAGGCTAAACTCTGCAGGCTCCATTGTCTTCTGAAAAGCTTCTTCAAACTATTGGGGCTATTTCCCAATTTCTGGCTTTTCTCCAGAAGCATGATTGAGTTTTGATTTTTAACACCTCTGAGCTCCTCACAAAGGCATGCTCAGATATCAAAAAGTATAAAAACTGTAATAATTGCCAGTAATGAATGGAAGTGCTTGAATTAGCACAGAATGTCAGACTGGCTTTTTTAACATATAAGCCAATCTGCAGTCAAGGGCAAACTTCCTGCTTTATATTTGTTAATTTTGATAGAGAAGGTTATAGTCGAGGGTGTAATTAATGAAATAGAGTTCTATACGAGTGCAATCTGAGTTCCTGCTGCAGTTAAAGAACACTTGGGTTTTCACTAGCAATAATATAAAAGTAGAACAAAAAAGAGACAGAGAATCAGTTAGAGAAAATACTGATGACTATGCAAAGTCTAAAGACAGTTAAAAGATCAAAGATACAAATTTATGAATAATTTTTGGGATTTATTTTCATAAATGCAGCTAAACAGTTGCATCAGCGAAACTAAACTATTCCTTGCAATGGAGATAAATTATAAACATTCTGAATTTTTCCAGATTTGCCTTA